CTAAAACAAAATGAAGAACTCCTTATAATTCGTCCGGACAAAGGAGCTGGTATAGTCCTTATGGACAAGAAAGACTATATTGAGAAAATGAACAACATCTTGTCAGATAAAACAAAATTTTCGCAACCACCCAACGAAAGAAACAAAACAGAACAGATTGAAAAGCAACTCACCGATGTCCTGAAAAGAATGCAAACCCAAAAGTTAATCACTCATGAAGTGTATGATCAGATCCGACCGACAGGGTCAACAATACCAAGACTATATGGCTTACCAAAGATACATAAAGCCAACCTCCCACTTCGTCCAATTCTGGATATGTCAGGTTCTCCGTACCATTCAATAGCGAAATGGCTCACTGACATTTTAGAACCTGTACGAAAACGAATATGCCACTATTCACTTCGTGACACTTTCCAATTCGTCGATTACATTAAAGATATCAATACAAAGAACAAAACTATGCTCTCCCTCGACATTGAATCACTATTTACCAACGTTCCACTCACAGAAGCTGTCTCTTATATTTGTCACTATATCGACGAAAATCAGCTGAACATCGGATTACCGACGATCTGTTTAAAAGAACTACTACTGAGATGTACACTCAATGTGCAATTCACATTCAACGACATTATTTACAGACAACAAGATGGCATCGCAATGGGATCTCCACTGGGCCCATTACTAGCAGACTGCTTCATGGCAAGCCTCGAGAACGGCCCACTCAAATCAACCATCGACAATTTCCAGTTGTACGTTAGATATGTTGACGACATCTTTATCATCTGTGATGACGGTCACGATCTCAATCAACTACTGCAAATATTCAACAAATGCCATCCAGCCACAAAGTTCACTTTGGAAACTGAAAATTAATCTAAAATCCCTTTTCTTGACGTTGAGCTTACAAGGAGAGATGACGGAACTTTAAGAAGGTCAATCCATAGGAAACCGACTTGGAACGGACAATTAACAAGTTTCTACAGCTGGGTACCAATCAGTCGGAAAAGAAACCTAATTAAATCCCTTGCCACTCGCGTCAGACGCATCTGCAGCTCCGACACCATGGAAGAAGAACTAAACTTCCTGAGGGAAATCTTCATACAAAATGGCTACCCACCAAGATTTGTAGACAAAAACATCAAACAGAAAAACCAAAAGCAAGAGACACCATCCGTGCCAAAAAAGATACTTTATATGAACCTAGACTTCAAAGGAGACCTACTTAGTGACGTCCTCAGAAGGAGAATTTCCACCTCTTTAGCAAGAACTTTCCCTGCGGCAACACTAAGAATAGTGTTCTCCAGTCGCCCGCTGATCTGCAGAAACCCAAAGGACAAGATTCCGCACATGACCACTTCTATGTGTATATATCAGTTCACCTGTTGCTGTGGAGCCAGGTACATCGGTCGTTCAACGCGCATCCTGTCAAAAAGGGTCAAAGAACATTACCCAGCGTGGCTACAGAAAGGAAATAATGGCCATATAAGGAGTGCAATAATCGAACATCTCGTCAACACTGGTCATTCCATCTCAACGAACGCCTCCTTCAAAGTGATCTACAAAGTGAAGAACAACCTCCCAAAGACAGTACGATTCCGTCTTCTTTGCATCGCAGAAGCCCTAGCCATCCAGTTGGTGGAACCAGAACTATGCATACAAAAGAAAATCATCCAACCACTTCTACTCGCATGGTAACAACTCCGTTGATTTGACCCAACTCTTCTTTGTTTGTTTGATTTGACCTTACTTCTGTTTATATGCTTATTTTTCTGACTTAAAACCCTTGTGTAATTCTTTATATTATTTTGTTTCCATGTACACGCTTTGAGTACACCTCATTCATCAAACTATTCATGCCATTGCATAACTCTTATTTAACAATCATTTATGACAACTCATCACTTTTGTTGCTATCCTCTTATCAACATCCAATTCATTTGAACTTACTAACCGTATTTTCGTTTGACAAATTTAATGTATACACACACAAATTAACCATATTGATAATTACCATAATTTACACCCCAAAAGAACAAGAAAAAAGACTGATAAAGCACAAGATAAGGAAATTAATAGGTTTTCGACTTTACCTGGCACCTTTTGGTTACTGGACTTCACAGCAATCACGTGGCAGGCCAACAAGTCTTGTTTATCTGAACGAGTGAGAAGGATGCTGCTACGCCGGTGCCATTACACTCCAACTACATGCGCACCATTTACCATTTGTCAGGTGGATAATACTGTGGTAACAAAGCATTTGAAGCGAGATTATTTCCTCCTCTGTTTGTTTCACAGTTTGTTAGCGATTGCAAAATGAAGGAGTTAACTTCTGACACCATGTAGTCGAAGAATTGGATATCCGTGTAAGCCAAAGAACATTAACCACTTTTAGGGAGAGTTGCGCAAACAGCAACTTCGGATAATGTCCATTAAGTTACAGCAAACTTTGTTGAAAAAAGATAATAAGCATATGATACAAATCAGAAGTATTGAGGTCCATGTCCAAAAGGAAACTCACTAACCGGTACTCAATAAGCCCACAAATGTCTGGTACTTTTAAATCTATTATTGACGGGAATCTCGGCAATACACCATGGAGCCCCATCAGCTGGCATACTGATTGACTTGCCGATCCCATGAAGAGTGACATGATACTGAATCTCTGAATAATTGAGTTCAACTTGCTGCGCACTTAAACACTTTAAATGGCGTTCCCCAGTAAACAGAAGAAGATTATAGTAGACCAGTGATTGTTTGAAGGGCTATAGAGCACTGGCAGTGGTTTCCTTGTAAATCATCGATATACCTCTATACATACTTGGGCAGACACAAGCTCATAATCTTTCACATTATTCCGACGCCTGGCCTTCCGAAACGTGTTGCCTCTGCGATCCCAAACTGCCTCATTCGGCATCACGGTATAGGCGGACTTCATTCCACAAGAGAGTATAGATAGAATCACAAAGTGCACGAGCGTTTTGTTTAGAGTTCATGGTGAGTCACATTGAACATGCAGAAAGATCTCTTACGACACATTTTGCCACTCAATTGTTACTTAAGAGGAATATCAATATTCTGGAAAGCTGGTATAGAACTGCATCCAAAAATAGTGTGGTTTTATAAATCACGCATTACAACAATCAAATGAGTAAACCCAGCACTTATAAATCCAGCTAGTATGGACTGATCCAAAGCCGTAAAGACTCGTTCATGAAAAATCTTAGTCAGAACATTCCAATCTCTTTTCACTAAGAATATGCCGCCCCTTACTTGCCCTTTCACAGCCTCCAGACACTTTGCCATCAGTAAACTGCCCTGAAATCGGTCAGATGGTTGTACATAAATATGCAGACACCGATAAATCAATTCTGAATCTAAGGAGACCCCCTTCAAATGTCGTTATTAGTCTAACTGGTTTAATGCATCATGTATCTTCATCTTACTTATCGCTGTCCTGGCTTCTTCACAATTTTTCCTCATTTGCTCTCAGTTTCCTATGAAGTGTCACTGTTACTACTGTGAATGACATTGTTACTATTAATATAGATGAAACTTGATGCCTCTCTGGTAAAACAACTGGCATAGGTTAAAGTAGAGCCAAATCACAGACGTGTCCTCGAAAATCATAGGGTGGAAATGACGAGCCAATCCGCAACACCAAAAGTTGAAGGTAAAGCGAAGATTACAAAGATGAACAGTTAAAGGAAAACTCGGTAATTATAGAGCATTCATTTATACACAACCTTAAAATAAGATGTGACAGAACAATAGTTTTTCAAAAGTAACGTAGGTACGTGAAACTAGGGACTGATTATTGAATTTTCATTCGTCGAATCTACATCAGTCGCCCACAATAGGATGTACTGAGTGTCAATACTTAACACATTGAAAATATTTCTACCAATGTCATCAAAAAATGAAAAGCAATGAAATTATCTAAACAGAGTTGGAAAGTTATATCAGTACTTTGAAATGACTTTGAGCGATAAAATGTGTTCACCATCTTATCAATAAATAGTGCTATATCACTGCGCTCTTCTGGCTAATAAATTTACTGTGCGCTGGAATCGTATGCTTCCACAGTGATCAAGTTCTATTCTTTTATCAAGGTTTATCGCAGAGCGCAGAGGAGAGAACAACAATATCTAAGAGGACGTTCATAGAATAGAGACAACAACTGTCATTAGACTAACAAAGAAAACGTGTGACCATTGACCGCCAAGGGTAGGTCAGTATACACATAGAATCAGGGGCCTATAAAATAAGGAACAACTCAAAACTTCGGAATAAGTAGTTACTATCGGAAGTGTACTACACCACTGCCTAAAGAAATCCAAGAGGAAGTGCCTATTAGAGATAGAAACCACTGAATTCCTTCGTGTCGAAACTTGCCTATAGGACCATTATTCTACCGACATAGCTATGATTCAGCCAGTCGTTAACCAACTGGACGACTATGCGAACCCGAGGTGGTCTGTACACATATTTTGCAGTAGACTAGATATCAATGTCCGTACTGACATTACAGTTACAAGCTTGATACTCCCGCTGATTCTCAATTTTATTTACTTTTGTATTATCGTATCTTTTCTCCCTGATTCCTCTCCTATTGGTAGCCACTTTGTTCCATTATACTTTGCCAACAAACCTCGATTTTTCAGCTTGTATCATAATATCTCACTTCCAGTACATTTTTGACTCTTCCAAGAAATTTTCCGATAGGGTGATAGCTGCAAATACTAATGGCAGAACTTGAATAGGAAAATCATATGTTCCCTCATCGTGAAGCAGGACTTCCACCTGCCACGTTCAATGGAATTGCATCAGTCACAGGGAAAGAACTTTGCATTGAAATCCACTTGAGATCTAGGACTATTCGTATCTCTGAAGAATTGGTGCCAAGTCGTCAACACGTTCATACAAGTTCTTCACAAAAATAATTGTTATTTGGAAATAGTATGTTGAATCTTTCCCACGTTACAAATTTCTGATATTGAAACATTGAATGCTTCTACCCGGGATTTTGTTTCTGAAAACCGAATGTCGTGGAGCACTAGACAGTTAGAAAGAAATGTATGTGGATACTCAAGACCAGTCAACTATGAGACAGGGAATTATAATTCAGCGCCACCTTATCAATTTTTCTGTCAGTTAGCACATGGAAGTCCAACAGGCATAATTCATGGGTTTACAACTATTCGACAGCTCTATTCAAAAATATCAGAGTGCTTTGATATAAGTCCCTCTCAGGTAAGCATTATTGTTCCCATAGTGTTTAACGGTATTTCTCATCACACTTATATATCTGAGTAGACTAAACTCTTCTTTGACCATGTATATATGTAAATATTTGTCCATTTAGTAATAAGGAGTGATTGTGGTGTTCAAAAGTAATTCGGATACACAAATAATAAATTTTCCTGCTTTTCGCTTCTATCTGCTGCTTGTGTGTTAGTTACCGTCCGCAAAACAAATTTTCCTGTTGGATTTTCATAGAACTTTTGACTCTCGATAAGGTATTCATAGAGACTTTTACAGTACATCTTTGTATTGTTGTACTAAGAAGGTAGAACAGTAGTAATTGATATCTGAAATAAGACACTACAAAAGTTGTTGTCTAGTGATTTTATGGAATCATTTACCGATATTATTGTATACAATGAATGCTTATAACAATTATTAAGCTATAAAATTTGATATCATGCAAACACGATTTCATTTTATTTGTAATAAAGTCTTAATCGCCACCAAGTTAGTTTATATAGATGCCATTTAAAAGTTAAGCTAGTGTTTATCCTTGACCCTTTCTCCAATACATTTTGTGATAGCCTGATTACATTTTCTCCATGCATTTGTGTTTGCATTTATGAAATGCAGCATCATAAACTGATGGACTTTTGATCAAAGCATCAAACCAGTAATCTAGCTCAATTAATTTCATAAGTTTTAAATGACTAAAAGTTTCATTCATGTGACTGGTTGATGAGTTTGCGTGGAACGTTGAGTAGATATATGTACCAGTTAAAGTTGTAACACCCCGACAAAAAAGAGAAAAGGAGAAAACAGTAATTTATTGGTGTTAGGACTGATGAAGAATCCATAGAGGAAGGGATTACTTATTGAAGGTCACTGACAATGCGTTCAAATTTGACACCTTTTTCAACCAATTTAATAAAATATGCAATAGATTTAATTTGTATGTTTGTTATTCGTGTGGAATTAGGGCTCTTCCCATGGTCGGTCGGTCGGTTTTCGACATAGAACTTTGCACATATGTGCGGCAGTTCAAGTCGCCACACTCCATGTAGCACACAAAGCAAGAGAAGAAAGTAGAAGAAATGCATAATATAGACAGTAAACAGAGGTGTGAGACAAAGGAATAGTAATAACGGAGAACAAAACAGTTTAATTGGAAATCATAAGTCACAAGGAGTGGATGCATCTGCACCAGCCACTGAGAACGATTTTGAGCCATGTCACCAATTGTTTCCAACCATTGGTTTTCACCGTCCCGAGGACCCCAACAGTCAGGAAGTCTACATCTTCCTACGTGGCTTAGACTAACTGTTGTGGATTTCATTGACTGGTGCCATGTTTTCGTTTGACCGCCGCTAGCTCTTTTCCAGCCTGGCCCTATATCAGCTAACATTGCCCGTCGAGGAAGGCGATGACTAGACATACGTAACACATGTCCTAACCATCTCAGTCGATGTAATTTCACAGTTTCGTCGATTGATTTCCCCGCCTTACCTAGCACTCGACGCCTAACCTCAATATTGCTCACCTTATTATACCACTTCACGCGGGAGATAGAACGCAGACATCTATGATCGAACACAGATAATCTTTTCATGTCTTCTGCTCTCAATGGCCAGGTCTCACAGCCATAAAGGAGGATGGAGCGGACTGATGAGCAGTACACACGCCCTTTGGTCGATAGTCGGATATCGCGTCTACGCCAGAGACGGCGTAAACTGGCATATGCAAAACTAGCCCTCTGTATTCGTGCTGAGATTTCGTCGGAGATCAACCCGTTGGGGCTGATGGTACTTCCCAAGTAAGTGAAGCGGTCAACGTGCTCTACCACTTCACTTCCTATTTGTAATCTAGGAGTCGGTGTAGTCCAATCCTGCAACATTATCTTACATTTTACAGGGGCGAATCGCATGCCAAACATACGAAGGTTGTTGCTCAAGGTGTTCAGTAGACTCTGCATTTTGTCAGCGTCCTCGCCTAGAAGGACTATATCGTCCGCATATTCTAAGTCGACGAGATTATTCCCTGGTAGCAAGTCAATCCCTGAGTCGCTGAAGTGTGTTAGGGTTAAGTCCATTAGTACGTCTATGATGAAGTTGAATAGGAATGGGGATAATGGGCATCCTTGACGGACGCCACTAGTCGTCACCACTTCAGATGACAACTCGCCATAAGCCCTCACCTGGCTGCATGAGTACGAGTAGAGTGCCTTAATCAGTGCTATGTATTTTCTCGGCATTCCCTTTACAGCCAAGCATCGCCAGAGAACCTCTCGGTCGACAGAATCGAATGCCGCCTTTAGGTCAAGAAAAATAATGATTGTCGGACGCCGGTAGGAATGCCTATGTTCTAGAATCTGTCGAAGGGTGAAGATATGATCAATACACCCTCTACCTGGCCTAAAACCTGCCTGGTTTTCTCGTGTTTGTGTCTCCCGAGCACCACTTAGTCTACGCAGTATTATTGAGCCTAGGATTTTAGATACTATATTAGTCAAGCTAATCCCTCTGTGATTATCACAAGAAGACTTGTCTCCCTTCTTGTATATCGGGATGATCAGTGACTTACACCAACCCGATGGGACTTCCTCTGATTCCCAGACGCTGCCTAGAACCTCAGGCTCTTCCCATAGCCTTTATTAGCTGAAGTAGTATTAGTTTGAGAAGAAATAAAATGACATGACCAGAACATGTCCTGTGACTCACCTGTGGAATGTCTGATTCCTATCTAAGTCGTGCAGAGAAGCTTACAATAAGAAAAGGTCAGTGGCAAAAGGCTGCTGGTAACATGATTGAAAGTTATTTAAAGAAAAACACATGTAGACCCTTTTATTTTTTCAAAATTCTGAAAATATTTGCCAATGATTTTATGGTTCTTTTTCTCACATTCAAATCACTCATGATATTTATGAATCCTCCACGTTTCTGACTACTACCATGATGCGGTAGTGAGACTTTCGTATCGTAATGAACCAACGAGATACAGCCGTTTGAGCAAACATTCCTAAAGGACAATGGCTTGAGTAAAAGCAGATACCTTTATGAAGTAAACTCAGTACTGCATTTCGGAGGGTTGAGAAAGAAATCACACTAAAAGCATATAGCGGCGTAACAACAGTAGAGTGTTTCTTGAGTCAAGCAGCAAGCCAGTTGTGCTGCCATCCAGTTATAGGAAGGAGGGTCAGCACCACCACCTACGAACAGGTAGTATGTGACTGACATTAAGCAGTTGTCCATTAGTTTCTGAGGTTACACAACTCTTATGGTTTTTCCCTTTCAGGAATTCCGTGAATTTGCAACCACTTACATATTTCCATAAGCACCAAAACAAAACTCTCGATTGCCACTAATTCTCAGCACAATCCGGCTTTCCTGCGACACCTAATAATATATGATGGAGAGTTTTTTGCCCTTCAAGTGACCTTGGCCAGTGAAACACTGTTTCTAGCCACTTAAGACTACTCTGCAAACTACATATTGAATCATTCAGTGTCTGAATTCTAAACCAAGTAATATAACAGGCCTCACTGCCTGAAACCTTGTTAGCTCAGGTTTTAGACTTCTGTTGTATCTGTAAGACACATTTTCAAGTTCCACACACGCTTGGAAAACATGGTATGTATATAAAAATCACTCTATAGGTGTCATGAGATCCTTTGGCTAGTTCTTGTGGATTTTCTTACGTGGGCATAGCGCCGAGTTTAAGAGCGGAAAGCTAATCAATTTCTAATCAAGGTGGTGTACTCGAAAGCATAGAGCAAAATTTGGAGTATGTTTTGGATGTGGTTCGCCTCCATCACATGCAAAGTGACATCACAGGACTGATGTCCTCAAAATCCTAGTTAAAGAATAGGCAGAAGAATGGATGAACATGTTGACTGTTTCACTCATTTGGAAATTTATATCAGCCCTAATGGACTGATTGCTGATGTATTCTGAGTATGGATACAGAAGGCTTGCTTAGTATCTACCTAATTGCTCCACTTTCAGTATGGATGTTATATTCGTTTACCCATTAAAGGATGTGAGCATTCTGTAGTGTATTGTACTGTCCTACTTTAAGGCTATGATATATGAGTGTCTGAAGTAGACGTTACGAAAAGATTAAAAGTCTTTGATTACAAATGTCTTCGTTCCACCTTCACTTTTAGGTCAAGGAATATAGCCATTGGTAATGAGGTAAGGATTAATTTCAGGTGTGAAAGGAAGTCACTTGGTGACTTTATGAAGCTCCAGTGATGTTGATGACAAAGATGTGTGTTACATAGATTCAGCTAATGCCTCCATTGACAGGTAATATAGTTCAATTAAGATTTCGGTTGTTCAGAATGAAACATTTTACCAATTCATGAAATCCTTGCTTATTGGTTTAAGCTTCATAGATATGTGTAAACTGCATGTTTGAGGTCTTTGCGATACCAGTGATCAATGCTGATATGGCTAAAAGCGATTCTGAGTCGTTGTTATTCTTCCTCTTGTACATTTTTTCGATTCTATCTTCATCGTGTTTTCTTTCTTCTACCTAAGTGTGCTACTATTGCAACGGCAGAAGGCAAGAGTCAGGCAACAGATCGTTTATTAAGGAAATCAACGCATATTTATATATTTTCATTTACATTACTATGGATATTTAAGTAAACAAACACAGTCTTCCGATTGGTTGTTTCTCACGTAAAGTTAATCTTTCATCTATTTGTGACTGTTTCTTGAATGTCAAATCCTCTATATGTTAACTGCATCCGCCTACGCAAAGTCTGCTGTGGTCGGTTTTGAATCAATCTTTGTTCACATTTTCTCACGACAAATCTTGGGAACGTAAACATTGACATAAATTACTGTCTACCAATTTGGCTAGTAGACAGCTCTCACCACACTATGAAGTGTAACACCTTGAACTGATGTACTTTTGTGCCCAGGTTTAGACTTTTATGACTGAATCAGTCTAGGATTGCAGGAGAAGGAACTTGCGTTTCTGAGTGCAAGATGTAAAGCAAA